TTTTTCCAATGCCAGTGGAAATACCTAATTTTGAGCATTAATTCCAATAGTCAATTGAGCATTATCAACATAGAGCATGTTGGATCTTTGTTGGAACATCGTCTTCTTAACATAGATATAGAGATTCATTACGTTTCATCTTTTTATCCAGAGATAACCTTGCAAACCTTCAATGGTTCTGTCACCAGTCATCGTGACGTGTTTTTATATGAAGAAAATGCTCGTAACATCATACGTTCCGAGGCCTTGGAGTCGGGAACAACCCAAGAATTCATTGATATTGTTCTTGTTCTTGATATTTTGTCTTATGCACGGCATGCTGATAGTTTACCTATGAACCTTGAAGATCAAGTAATGAATATGAGAGTCGAGATACCCTTTCAGGTGGATGTCGATGACGAGATCGATGAGTTAGTTGATGAATCGCTGGTGAGTTCGGTGAATTTTACGCCTGCAAGTAAGTCGTCTACAAAGCTTTGAAAAGGGTCAAATATTCTATTATTTTTTTGGGTATGTTGAGGATTGATGTATTTTGATAAAAAAAAAACAATACAAAAGTTTATCCAAATAATCTTTTCAGATTCTTATATGAACCAGGATAAAATACAGTCACTTCAATTGGATGGGTGAAATAATTATCAGAGGAAAGTTAAGATATAATGAAATAAAAGAAAAAACCTGAACTGTTAAACTTACTCACCAGTTGAGCCAAGGGGTAGTTTTAGCATTATTTGTTAATTCTGATAAACCTACTACCAAGTTATTTTGTTTCGATCAAGCTAACCATACGTGTTGCATCAACTCTAGTTTTCTACAATATTACCTTCCTGAGAATTTGTAGGGACACCTCCAGTTTTAAATTAAAGAAATTATTACTGCTAATTCTCGTTGTAGCTTCACGAGAATTTCTCAGAAAAGCATGCCAAGGTTGACTCTGCATCACCAAATGTTTCTGATTCTGTTTCATCAAAAGAGCATCATAATCAACCTTTTCCAGGTTTGCATCTTTGGAAACTCGTGCTCTATATGCTTGTCAATAATGATAAACCTGGAAAACTTTTACTTGCTTATGGTTTTGCATTGATATTTCTTTCTTTGTTTGAAATTTTACTTGTCTTAAACATGATATCAATAGGTTTCCAGCTTATCAAATTCCTTTTTCTTCTGATCTGAAAGAGTACATGCCTCCCATGAATTGTTTCATGCATCCAAGATTTGAGGTCAGCATATTTGTTTATTGTTGTTCAAAAGAAAAATAAAAGTTGTTATACAATCGGTTCGTCAAAGTTTCGTAGTTTTGACATCATTTGTTCAAGCATGTCACTACTGTCTAGAGAATCAACATTGTTAAGCTATTTTATTGTCGTTCCATGTTGTTAACCCTGTTAAAATTCATTTTAAGTTGAAATTCAAGTTTCTAGATAAAATAATGTTTGTTTTGTCCCTGTATACTTTTTCTTTCAGCTTATCTCCTTGTAATATATTGTCCTTAAATCCATTGTTTTCACTGTTCTTTGAATTGAAGGTACGTTCCTGATACATAGGGTTGTGGCTAAGTTTTCGGGAGCCCTGTACAAATTCTTTTAAAGGGCCCCTATTTTCTAGATATATAAATTTTCGGGACAACAATAATGACGTTTTTAACAAACGCCGCAATAAGTCCATCTATAGTGTCATTTTTTCAATAAAGCCGCAACAATAGTGGCGTTTTTTTTTGAAAAACTCCACTATAGATATACTTTTTTGGGGCCCCTATTTTTTGGGGCCCTGCGTGGTCGCGCACCTTGCGCTGGGTCAGCCACAGCCCTGCTGATACATGCATCACAATGCTCACATCAAAGGAAGAAGTAATAACTCTTCCAAATGATCCACTTGTCCAAGCCTTGGAAAAGAAGACCAAAACGCAGCATAATTGCAATGACTTTTTGAATGAGATCTTGATCTTATTTGGTCAACATGTCTTCTGGAGATACGACCGTTTGTCTCTTATCTTTGCAACGGTTCTTAAATTGCATCAATCCGATATTGGGAACTTAAGATATGACCATTTTAGTGAAGACAGTGCATGCAGAAAATCGTATACGGGATTTTATAAATATTACGAAGTTTCAATATTTTTATTAATTATTTGTAATATAATTTAATATAGGATGATGCATTATCTTTTATGATTATATTGATTATTTTATTAGGAATTAAGGTTGAGTTAAAAATATTATTTTTATTTTATTATTATTTTATTAGGAATTAGAGTTAAGACATGTTTAATTTGTTATTATTTTATTCATTATTTATTTAGAACATTTAGAACTCATCCTGTATAAAGGAGGCTTCATTAAACTTTTTAAAACAGATTTATTTGATTAATAATACAACAAGAGTTTATTTTTGCAAGTGCTGATTGCCTTGTGCCTTCGAAGCTTCTTCTCCAGAAGTTCTTTCAAGTTCTTGTGAGGGAGATTAATCTTCACACTCCAATTTGTCTTTTCATCACGACTAAGAAGGTTGGTTAGAGTCATATTATCGAGTTTGCCTTTTCATTGCGACTAGGAGGGTTCGATAGGACACTTATCAATCTATTTTCCACAAATCCATCCGCACCATCAAACATTTTTACCGTTCACCTTCATAAGGGAGACATTTTGATTTCTTTATTATCTTACTTTATTTTTAATTTCTTTATCTTGTTCTAATCTTGTTGCCTTGATTCCAGCACCTAAAAGAAACCCTAAAGAATCCTAGTTATTGCCGCCACCTTTCCTTATTTATTACCCTTTGTTCTTCATTGAGTCTCGAGCTTTCTAGGTTTGGTTCTTCAACAAGAGCAAAGTTCATTAATCCGCCACCGCTTCCTTATTAGTTTCTGATAAAAAATCAACTGAAGTTGCAGATCAATGCTCAAAACCGTCATTAAAAGAATGTTCTTTTTTATTCTAGTGAACAATGTTTTTTTTAATTGAAAGAGAAAGAACCTAGACTAAATTCTAGTGAACAATGTTGAACCATGTTACATTTCATTTTAATTTTATAAATTTTGATTTATTTTTCTACATAATTTGTTCAGTAATTAAATTTTAAGTTTATTGTTATTAGATAATTCTACATACATTAAATTAGAATAATATAGAGTAGAAAATGATATATGCGAAATCAATTAACTATAGTTGCGTTTGTAAATAAAAGCCACCAGAAGTCAGGTTCTTTTGTGGCATTTGTAAAATATCATAACATATAGCGGCATTTGAGAAAACAAACACCACTAAAGACAAGGTAATTAGCAGTATTTTTCTTAAAAACGTCTATAAAGTTTGACCTTTTGCGGCATTTTCTGTTCACAAACACATCTAATTGTTGCCCTTTATTTTCTTTATTTATTTTTTCAATAGTTTTGTTATAGTTACTATTTTCAGTGTGCAAGTGTGGTTATAGATCAATGTAGCCCTCTCCAAAGGAGAGAGTGTGTTTAGCATTGTTGTTGTTTGAATGTTGTTTGTGCTGTGGTTTGGATTTTAGTCATATTTGGAGCATTCAATGTAAAATATATATTATGTGTTAGATGTGTTGCCAATTTGTACAATATGCTTCCTCTTTGTTGGAATGAAATTACCGTGTTTTGTTCTGCATAAGTTTGTTAATTTACTCGAATGTTGTCTCGTTAATTATATGTTATGGGAGGATAAAATCTCTCATCATCGGCTTTTTAAAATATAAGACAATGTTGGATTATTTGTGGGAATTAAAGAAGTGATCTTTTAACTTATTAGAGTGCAATCTTGTTAACTATTCTTAATAGGAGGCTATCATTCCTAACTTTTGTATTCATTTAAGGGATCACCAATTAAATTCAAATTTGTATTAGTAGTTTTTTCGAAAATCGAGACAATGCATGATATTTTTTAAAAGTTACTAAGAATGTAACGAGGATGTTTAACCTTCTTCATGTGTAGTTAACTCCCTAACTCAATCTTACATTGATTTTAATTGTAGACCTCTAAAATTATATTTTTCCAAAAAAGTTATAACAAAATTCAAAAGATAATTTTATGAATATTCGGTTGTACTTTACACAAAACAAATGATACTGACTCTATTTTGTCAAAATGTACACAATTTTAAAGAAAAATATATTTTTTGAACCTAAAAAGGTTGCAAGGTCTGCTTGGATGGCGACGATGTAACCTCGACTTCTTGAATTACAATTGATTGAAGTCTATTGTATTTTTTTAACAGATTGTTGATGATCAATGTATTTGACGAAGAAAATATAAAAGTTGATCGAGATTCCAAGCTTGTAATTCATTTTAGTTTCGTTTTTTTTCTTCATATAGAAGTCTAACTTGTGTTTAACACTGCTTCATCTTCATTGATCTCCCAATTAGACATTCCTGCTGCCTCTCATCCACCTCTTTCTCGTTTTCATTCGTTTTCGGCAGCACGGTTGTCCCTACTTCAACTCGGTTTTGCAGGACCAACCACCATGGAGATTCATGGATAATGAAACCTGCGGTTTATATGCACCAAAAGGTCCAGAAAATGCATAGTTGGAGATAAACGGAGCAAAATTCTTAGATTTATAAAAATCTTAAGAAAGGAGTTAAGAGAGGCTCTATCAACATGGAGTGGTGATATCTTTGTTGGATTATATGACATGATATATATAATTCTTCGTTGTTTATACGAAAAGGCAATATATTTTGATCAATGTTTTTGAGTTAACAACGTGATTCCTCTGGGTATTAAGAAATATGGGTTCCCAGATGTGATGACATGGGCGGTGACTGGTCCCAACATTCAGCGCATCATCATCATCTCATTCCCCAGGGCATGGCCAGTGGGTCCATAATTAATGTTAAAAGCTTTTCACAATAACAAGATTATGATGCGTAAACGTAAATGGTAAAGATGAATATGTATTACATCTACTTTTACAAAGGACAAGAACTTAAACAAACTGTAAAATGCATGCTCAAATGGAGCTTGTGAGGTGGGGCACAATCGAGAAGGAGATCACCAAACTGTCTCCTCAACTCAAATTGGAACTAAAACCTGCAGCATTACGAAATCAAAGATGACCCTACCTACTGATATATTACTAGCAGACAACAATAAAACAAAAAATGGTGCAACCGTGCAAGACCTAAATCTTCAATGAGTTTTGTCACTGCTAAAAGGCCAGAAAAAATACGCAACCTTTTTGCACGTGGTTACTGGGAATATATGAATCATGGTGGGGCTGCAGCTAATAGGATGCTACTAAAGAACCACCACAGGTCGATCAGTTGTAGTGAAAAAATCTCCTAGTTCTGAGTGAAATCTGCGGGCAAAGAATGGCTATACCACTAAAAAGATGGATGCTACGGTTCACTTAGTAATCTTCATCTTTCCAAAAGAAGGGTTTCATTGGACAAGAAGCTGAAGAAGGGGGAGTTGAGTTGTGTTGTTGCTGCTGATTTTGATCGGTGAAAGGAAGATTTGAGGGGAAAAGAAGATTGTTTGTGGTGTCTAAATCATCCCACACTGGACTACCAGGTCCCCAGCCTGCTGGAATCGCATTCAACCACGCCTCTGCCATGGCTCCCCACTCCATTTCCTGAGAACCCGATACGCATTCCCTAGCTCCCGAACTCTCCGTCGTCATCCCCGAATCGGTGTCGACAATTTCTTCTTCAGGCTCTGCTGCCTGTGGTTTTAACGTTTCCGTTTCTGGAGGCTGCAGATTCTGGTCCTGGCTTGAAATCGGTGAACTCGGGGATGTCATCGTAGCTTTATCCTTATTGAGGAAAAGCTCGGGGAAATTGAGCTTTGCATTCTCTCCTCTCAACTTGAATGCTTCACGATCGTATGCTAAGGCGGCATCTTCGGCCGTGTCGAATGTGCCGAGCCAAAGACGGGTCCTGTTTTTCGGAAGACGAATTTCGGCTACCCACTTACCCCAATGCCTCTGTCTCACTCCCCGGTAAAGCTTTGTAGCACTTATCGGTTGCACCGGAGGCCTAAACAACTGTCTCCCAGTCCTATCTTGCTGCCCCAATCTGCTCATCATCATCAGCCTCCGTCTCGGACTCAAATTCGACACATTACTCCAGTACTGAACGAGTTGCTGCTGCTGTCGCTGAGGCGATAGAGACGATTCTCCCGAGAAAATCGGGTGATAAACAACACCGTGTTGCGGATTTTGAGGTGACGGGCGGAATGTCGGCACGAGAGTTGGATTGTTCCCATATCGTTGAGATGCATCAAAAGGAAAGGGTAAAGCCAGACTCGAAGATGACATAGGAGCATTTGATGAAGAAGACGGATGAGGTAAAAAAGATGAGAATTGAAAAGCGGTTTCTCGTTCAGGGCTACGAATCTTCTTGAAAGGCCTTTTCGACATGGAAGCTTCGTCAAAAACTGGCTTACATTGACGCCTCTCTGTCTCGTCTCCACGATTATTCGTTGAATCCATTGATACAGATAAGCACAACCTTTTCTCTATGTAAATGAAACTTTGATAACTTTCAGATGGGAAGATTAAGAAAATAAAATGTATAAATCGAGAGATTGAAATAGGAACGGAGACGAGGGTTTGATTTTGTTTCTATCGTGCTAAAATTGAAACGTTTTGCAGTTGAGAAGCGATGAGTTGAAAGAAATATGCAGGGGAGGGATTGTTTTTTCACTTTTCATAGAGAAATGGAGAAGTGCAGAATTTATACCAAGTCCCATCGTTCTTGGTTGGTATTGGGGGACCACGCGAGGTTGACTTTCTTTTTTTATTATTATCTTAATCAAATCAAATTCTCCCAAAAATATTTTTTAAAAGATATTGTTAAAGACATTTAATAGTACGTTTATATGATTTTGGTATAAATATTTTTTTAGAATGATTTCATTAATAAAAATAGTGTGATGCACGAACCAAACCATCTCGATAATAAATGAATTGTTGTTATTTCTTGAAGTATTGCTTTCGAGCACAAAAAATGCCAAGGGTATAAACCTATTTATTATTAAATGATTGAAAGAAATAATAATCATTGACAGCCGACGAATTAGATTAAGATTAGTGTCTTGGCCGCCTAAACAAAAATCAAAGGAAAAGAAGAACTTAGAAAAAAAAATATTGAGAGAACCTAGGTTAAAAAAGTCAAATTAATTTATTAATATTTTTTTAAATTAGTCTTAGATGATTACAAGATAATATATATTCAAAAAATACTATCAATTTTTTTAACATATTGACAATACACACACCCTATAAATGTAACATAACTACTTGAGGCCAGAATTTTTAGAAAGAATAATATTCTTTTTTATCATTAAAACAACTTAACGAGTTTATAACAAAATATTAAATTTTTAAATATATATGAATTCGTATTTTCATACATATTATATATGTGTGTTGTTATGATCCACATACACCTAGTATAAATTTTTTAGTTTTACATTTTTTAGAATCTTTAGATGAGAGAAATTTAAAGGGTGAGATTAACTCGTTTTGTTTCTACTAAATATCTTCACATTTCCTACTGTTAACTCATCTAATGATTTTAAAAAGATGTAAAGCTAAAAAAAATTATACTATGTAATTGGATCTTAACTCGTATATATATATAAATTTAATCGACTATTATAGTAACTATTTAAGATGCCCAAAGATTAACCTAAAACAAACCATGTGTTAACAAAAGCATATATTAACTTGGGATAGAGAACCTTTGGCGTAAAGTGGTGCACAATTGGCATGAGCGAATGTTCAAGGTTTGGGATTTACTTTCGGTGAATCAAATAAAGGCTCATTGGGAAAAGATCCGATTTTTAATTTAAAATATATAATTGGTTTATAATTAAAATTTCATGAATAAATGAAAAAATATTAAAATATAAAATCCATTAACATCTTAAATTTATTTTATTCAGATGTGTCAAAATATCTGAAAGAAACGTGGTACAAGTGTTGGGGATGTGAAGGTGGAAGGCGTCTCATGGTCTGAGTTGGGGACAAAGTCAAAGGGCAAAACGTGGTCTGCAAAAGTCGGTGGAAATCGGCACGTGTCGGTGGTCCACCCAATCACTTGCTCCCACGTCATCATTAAATTTTATCAACGATGGGAGCAGCCAAAGTTAGTAGTACAAGGGAATGCTCTATAACAAAAATATCTTTGCTTTGAGGCCAAGCTTTTATTCCCACGCAGGACATACTCATTGGCTGCCCACCCACGCAATCTCATTTTATATATATATAAAATCAACTTTTGTAGAAGAATGATCATTCTAATTTAATTTTATTTACGAAGATAATTTTTTTTAATTTATTTGATTTTTTAAATTTTTATATTATTAATTAAATATTATTTGATGATAATATGTAAAAAAGAAATTAATTAAAAGTATCAATTAAAGCTTTTTTTGAAATTAAATGATATTAATAAAAATAACTCATTTTATTAATAATAAAATCATGCGGATATAATTACGCGAAGCTGAAATTTATAGAGATTAAAATCTCTAAGAAGAACAACATCATTTTTTACTATCGAAATCGATGAATGAATTTTTAAATAATTGTATTTTATGTATGGCATGATTAGAAACCGTGTCCTCCTACATTCTAGGTTACCACACAACAACCAAGCCAAGCCTGCTGTTGTACTATTAATAAAAGTTAAAGATTTAATTTGATTAAAAAAATTAAATAAAAAAATTAAATAAAATTTAATGGTTTAAAATATAAATTACCTATAAATATATCACTTAACCCTTAATAAAAATGTTTAAGATTACCCATATCCCGTCTCAATTTGATTTATTTTATTGATATATTCTACCTCAACGAAAGTGGGTGCAAAACTTCAAATGGAACTCTAGAAGAAGTTTCCAATAAACGTGGTGATCAGGTGAGATATACACGTGTAGCACACTCATGAGTTTATGAAAAAAGGACTAAAAATATCTCGAAAGACCAAACACAAACAATATGTTTTTGTCTTTGACCTCAAACAAAGCACTTTCAGAGCCTCTATAGGGACAACATGCATGAATGTTACATAGATTTTAAGGCTCTTTCAACTTGGAGACACCAACAATTGGTGACAAATTGGAAGCATGCATAAGTGCGTACGTGTCCGCAAATTATAATAGGGCTCTAATCTCAACCACCTTTGATTCACCATATATACACACTTGCTTTGGAATGAAACAAAACTAAGTTGGTGGATTTCATAGAGCATATGTGTGCTCACACTTATATATTGAGATGGATCGAAGCAATCATCATATTTTTAAAAATTTAAAATTTCTATTTAATATAAAATATTTTCATATTTTCTTTTGATAATCTAATTATATAATTTTACATATTTCAAACTTTTAATATATATATATATATATTTAAAAAAAGTACACTTAAAATCCAAGGTTTGTCTATACCTGTATAATATTAATAAAATTTTGAGACGGTCAAATGAAAGATTTAAAAGCATATATTAAAATAAAAATGAATGTAATTTAAGAAACAAATCGTTAATTAAATTTGATTTTTTTTTCTCTCTAGAAAAATTATGACAATGTAAATATCGTAGGAGTTACTTAACAACATCTACAAACAAATGATTTTCCCCCCCAATTTCGATTAGCTTAATTTGTTGGAAAATGAAAAGAGGTGGCATGCTGCAATTGGCAGGCATAACATAGATTTTCTCGAACTCCATTAATTCAAACTTTACAGATGTTGGAGTTAGATATTTATTAAAACATATATATATATATATATATAGAGCTTGTAACTTATTACATTGTCGACAGCTTATCGGAACTCTATTTTTAAAATAAAAGAATGTCAACCCCGATGGGTTGAGAAAATGGTCGGCTGTCATTGGCAACCAATCCTCTTTGTGTCAACTGAGTTGCGGTTAGGGAAAGGCACGGACGGTACATGATGGAATAAGTTTCCGGCTGTTGCAATTTTGATTTTAAAATTAGTCTTCTTTATTTGATTTTGATCTGTTCCAATTTTTTTTTTTAAATAAAGTGTTTTATAACTATCTCGAACTAATTTTAAATTTAGAGTAAAATTCCATCCCACACCTACTCAAGTCAATTATACATTTTCTCACTCAATCTAATATTTCTTGCCAACCTAATAAATTTTATTTTTCTAAAAGCAATATTCTCACCATATTTCTTGCTTTGAATCTCTCCTCCAGAAAACTTATATGAATCTAAATTTATAATAAAAAACTAATTTTATAAAATCAATTCAAAATCTACTTATATTAAAATTTTAACAAAAAGGTATTTTAGGCTCTTGTATTTTTCTAAAAAAAGTCAATGTGATTTTTGATTTATTTTTGCATTCAATGTGGTCCTCAAACTTAGAAAAAAAAAATTCAATATGATCATTTGATTAACGGTTTCTGTCGTTAGCAGTTACGATGATGACGTGACATTTCACGGTGCTGACATAGTAGTTTACTGTGTTAATGTGACAGTCAACGGTGGCTAGTGACATGACTGATGAGATAAATTAATTTCGAAGACTAAATTGATTTTTGGCACAATCCTTTCTTGAGAGTTACAAGCTCCATATATACATGTCTTCATCATCGCCTGAATAATACCCAACTTTACTGGGCGATCTGTTTTAGCACAATCCTTTGGGCCCTATGGGAGAAGAGGAACAGAATAATATTCGACCCTGACATGTGCGAGAGAGAAACAATTATCGAGAAAGATATGAGACGGTCTTCGGATATAATCAATGCAAGAACAGAGTTTGGCCAACAGCCCAAAATGCAACCAGAGGTACAAACCAAATGGAACCCACCTGACTAGAACTGGTGCAAAATAAACACGGATGGAGCAAGATGCCCCCATACGAGGGAAGCCACCTGCTGCGGAGTGCCGAGAGACCATACTGGAAGACGAAGAATGTGATTTGCTAAGAAAATAGGAATTTGCTCTACTCTAGAGGCGGAGCTTTGGGGTATATATATGAGGGAATACAAACGGCTCGTAGAATCGGAGAGAATCAAGTAATAATAAAATCAGACTATAAAGAGGCCATTAGTATGATACAAGGTGGTACGAGAGAGGGCGGGCACCTCACGATCCTGCAGCACATCGATACTCTTATTCAAGAAAATTGGTTAATCATCTTCAAGCATACATCCAGAGATGGAAATATAGTAGCAGACTTGCTAATCAAACATCTTAGGATCCTTCGAAATGGGTTCCTTAACCGCTGTTTGAGTGTTTGTAACAAAAAATATGTTATTGTTAAATGTTTGGTAATGTGAGTTTTATTTTATTTTATAGTATAATTTAATACCTTCAATTTAATAAAATAATTATGCATTTCTCCCCCTAAAAATAAACCTTACGGGGAGATGCGGATATATTTTATTGAATTTATTTTTATTGCACTAATAATCTATAAACCATCTATACATTAAACAATGACACTAAAATAAATTTATTTTTAAATTATTTAAATGATATACCATCATCCGAATCAATGTAATAATATATAATAGTGACCCATATAAATACACCTTAGAGGTTTTCCCCCCTTC